AATTAATTTATTTTAATTAGTTACTATATTTTAAAATTGTATTTTCGAAAAATGTATAAATAGAGGCACTGTCTGAGCCTTAATTCGATATTTATAACTGAAAATAAAAATCTCTCTAAACAAAAACCTTCTTCCAAATACTCTCTGCCTCTCATATTTTCTTTATACACTTTAAATCTTGTATATAAGTGGTCTTATATCATATTGAACCTATCAAATCACTAATGGCTTTATATCGTATTGCGTCGAGCAAATCGCTATTATTGACTTTGGATTTTATATCATATTGTGCTGAACAAATTATTGTTATTAAATTATTGAGCTTTATATCATATTGTACTGAACAAATCATTATTGAAAATTATTGAAATTGGATTTATAAATATTTTTACTTTTTGTTATTTGAATTTTTAATTGTTAATGAATATTCCTCACTCGTGAAAAGAACAAAGTAAAAGAATCTTTGTTATTATTATTATTAATCATATTATCTTAAAATTCTAGAAAGCTTTACATTAGTATAGAATTTTCTTTCAAATCTCCTTTATTATTCCTTTATTCTCTTTCCTCTTTGACCTTTACTCTCTTATAACTCTTTTATATTATTACTTCTTTTTAGATAAACACAATTTCTGTAGAAATTGATATAGATCTTAGATATATCTTTTCTTTCTTAATATTTTCTTTATCAGTTTATATCCTCTTCCAATCCAGATTCTCATTTGTAAGCTAATTTAATGATTAGTGAACAAACTTGTAACAATAATATAAAAAATCATGTATTAGCCTATCACAGTAAACTAGACAAGTAATAAACAGAAAAGTTAATCAAAATAAGATAGATTATACACTATCCATTAAAAACTAAAGAATAGTACTTATTAATTATCTAATGAGAACAATATCCATGCATAATACATACATAGAAACTAACTTAAATATATAATGAACAAAAAGAACAATTCGAGAACAAATTTTCAGAATAAAAGAAAGAAAAAATCACCAAAAATATACTATTTGTAATAATTCCCATCTCAAAGAAAAATTTAATGCAATATAAAAGAAAATAACAAATAAAATAATAAATAATAAATAAAAATAAAAATAAAAAGAACAAATTTAATAATGACTAAAGAAATTTGATAAACAAAAATCAAAACATCTAGTCAATTAATGTTTGATACATGATCTCTCTGATTTAATATTATTAAAAAATTAATTAATAAAAATAATAAAATTAATGAACAAACAAATAAACATAACTTACTAAAAAAATCAAAAATCTTTGAAATATTGACCAATAAACAAGAAAATAACATCATAATAAAAATGTGACAATTAATTATTCAAATTACCAATAAATTTAAAGAAAATTGTTCAGATCTGATAATAACTATTGAAAATACAGATTCACAATTCAATATAATACTACTAGAAGAATATTTAATAATAGAACAACAAATTGATGATATTTGTGAAGAAAATATTATACCAAATAAAATAACAATACAAGAGAACACTCTAAATAATAAATATAATCAATCCTAAATTTATAAGAGCTAATCAATAACTACAAAGCTCTTGAAAACAATGAAACACAAAAATCAACACAAAAAAAAAGAAAATCACATTCAGATAAAAAATAAAAGAAGCATAGTAATAGTAGATGAATGCTTGTATCTAAAGAATATTCTGAAGAAAAATTATATCTCCTGTTATATACTAAAAAGAAATTAGCCAAACTTAATAATGATGATTCTACAAGTCATCTTCAAATAGTAAAAGACAAGAAGAAAAGATCACTCTCTATCTCAGTAAGAAAATGACTTCAATTGACAATATAACTTGCAAAAACTTTTTCTAACATCCCAGAAAAATTGTTATCAGTCAAAACAACTTTCTATTAGGAACTATTTAGTTAAAGAAAATACAATTATATCATCTTAAACAATCAGTTCAAAACTGATTATGATTGAGATAATACTCAATTCTTGAAAAAGAAGAAAATGTTACAATCTGGAATTATCCCTAATTTCTTAATTTCTTAATTCTGATTATGTGATTGAATATAGATTGAAGAGATAGCAGAATTCTCAGATATATTAACATTATTTACTATATCATATTTATCTAACATGTATATCATATCTCATATTATAATAACTTAATCATAAAATTATTTCATATAAATAAAGAATCTTTTGAATAAACCAAAAGATATTAATTAATCAATACAAAATCTAGCTAGTTAATAAACTGCTTCTTATTTATTGTTTAATGAAATTATATATTAATTGATTTTATAATTATCAATCTTGTTATAACACTTACTTTATATATTACTGAACACTCAACCAGGTTGCTATAGAATATCAGATCTATATTGCTATAGAGCTATCATCATACTAAGTAAATATAAAGGATAATATTTATTAGTAGTAGTGTTATCTATTCTAAATTAATAAAATAGAAAAAAATATACAGCGTCATAATTTTAAAGCAACTAGATCAAAATTATTAACTTACTGAAATAGATATTGATTGAACATCCATATTATAAGATTACCTAACTGAGTTCAGAACATGAATATTTTGTACTTAATCATAACTATAATGAGCAATCGTGTTATAATCAACTTTATCTCTTGTTATAAAATGCTCATTTACCAATTTTTTCTGTTATTCTGCTAATTTCATATTTTTGTTATAATAATTTCTTTCTAATTTAGTCTTAACTAAATATTCTTTATACTTTTTTAATAAATCTTTCATTTTTTTCCTTGTGAATATTATACTGTAATTCATTCTAAAAATATTGGTATATATTATATAAATTTATTCTTGAACTTATGATTTAAATATAAGATGTTAATTGATATTATAACTTGTAGAATGCATCATATTTTAACAATTTCAATGTGTTATTATTTTTGAGACCTGCAATAAATCAATTTATAACTTGTTTCAGTTAATATAGTATAAGCAATTGAATAATACTATTAATATTTTTATCAGGACTAAGGTTGCTTGCTGAAATCTCTTAGTGATCACTGAAATTCTGTCAAAATTATAATAAACTATTAGTAAATAGTCCGTCAAAATTCTAACGAGTTTTGAAACCTGTCATAACCAAAATTATGCTGAAATTCTAATTAACAATTAGTGTGTAACCCATTAAAATTATGACGATATTTTCTGAAAGAATTTAGGCAAGCATCCTTAATCAGGACTTGGTAATCCATTAATTTTAGCATAATTTTTGAAAAAATTCTTCACAACAGTAGCTACAGTTATATCAATAGTTATTTTGATTTTTCATCACAACATTCATTTTATGTTATCATGAATATGTGATATTATACCATTCGTTACTAAGTGATTTCTGATATTTTCAAAGTGTATGTGACCAATTCCTAACATATTAAAATACATTTTCTGACAAAGTGGTGTATTGTGATCTCAATAATAAAAAGTTCTCTTATTAGTGTGCATTTTTTTTAAGACACTGACTGATAGTTATTCTTCATTATTTAATGTTTTAGTTGAATCATTAAAAATATATCTTGTTCAAATCTAAAAAGAGCTTGAAACGTTTCACATAATTCAGCAAACTTTTCTCTCAGAATCTTTTTTGAGCAATCACAATTGTAACCTGTCTTCAAGAAACATGTTGCTTTTTTATATTCAACGAAGTCATTATATTCATTATTTATATTTATCATATATAGGTAATTATATATATATATTTTATCATTTTTATGATAATAAGTTGAGACATCAATAAGTTAGGTATGAGTAATTAAGGATGATTGCTGAAATAATGTCATCTAATTAAATAATTTGCCAAAATTAACTTGCTGAAATCAAATTTAAAATTATTTTGGCTTATTTTATTAGTAGTTGAAATTATTTTCTGAAATTATTTGAATTCTACAAATCAAAACAAGCATTTCTAGATGATTTTTAAGTATTTATTAATATAAGCAACATAGCAAAACTGAATTATTTGCTGAAATATCATTTTTTCCAAAAATAATTTAGAAGATCATTTTTATAAGTAATTCTTAAATTCAGAATAAATCAAGTTTGATTGTTATAGTTTCTGTTACAAAATTTTTATTTTGATATTCTAAGTTGATTGTTTCAGAGTTTCAAGCTTAAGAACTCTCCCAATGCACATGTTAATCTTATAGAAACAGCAAAATGAGCAAATTACAAAATGTGACTCCAAGTATTGTCCAGCTCAAAATACAATGAAAAAAAGTATTTATTACATGTATAAAGATGCATAATCTCTCTTTATTCAGTATTATTATTGCAACTCAAAATCTATTATACCATCATCTCATTTAACAAATAATACAATTAATCATCTCCTTTTGTTGCTTTACTCTATTAATATTAGAAATAACCACCATTATTTCTTTTCTTTTGTGATGAAGCATTGGATGGATTATCACTTGGTGAACACACTACTTTATGGAAACTAGCCATATGTTCTCGATAATATATTATAATTCTTATCTGCATGAAAATATTATAGTGAGTACATAATACTTACATTAAAAACTGTCATAAAATATTACCTTGAATTTGACAATCATTTCTATTATTTTTGGTATTCTCACCAGGCACTCATTTGTTATTGGTAATATGAAATCATCATAATTCTTAACCACAAACTCATTATTAATGCAATGCATGCTCAAGAAACTAAAAAATTTTCCTAATTAAATTGATTGAGTGATCTAATGTAATCAGTGCAAAACTTGTTCACATTTACCATGGACTAGTACAGCAAAAGTTGATAATTGTTGTGAAGTTTCAATATCGAGATGTGCACGTTGATTCCACAATAATAATGACATTGCTATGGTTCGTGGAGAAATACAGCTAGTCAGCATAATGTTTGAACTAAATGATGGGTAATAAAAGGCATACCTTTATATAACTTCTCTAAGTCAATATTCTATCAGTTATGTCATTGTTAAAGGCATTGCCTACGACCTCAAGAAATCCGATCTGATATTTTTTTCCATGTATTATCATGTTGATCACACCGTCATGTTTCATTCCAAGTTTTAACCGCTCCTTATCTTCCTTAGTATCATTCCGTTGCATTTTTTGTATTTCGTTCTCAATTTCTCCAGTTTCAAGCCATATAGAACGTTCAATCATTTCAAATACCCCTGCAAGCAGAGGATTCACAATTTCCGAGCGATAACGAAGCTCACAGGCTTCTTTATCAAATAGAGCACCTCTATTACGTAGAAATTGTCGTGTCCTGATGTAGGAAAAATAAGTTATAATGACAGGACAGCGGGGAAAAAAACAAAAAACTTGTTATGAAAAACCTACAAATCAATAAATATTCTCTGACACCAAATCAATTCATCATCACGTTTATAAGAAAAATCATCATAGGGAGGTTTACTGAACACTGTAATAAGCTTCTCGTGATCAACATCCAATAATTCGTCAAAATGATCTTATAGTACTTATCCACAAGTTCTTTCAGTTGAGATACATTCCATCTTTCTTCGACTGTTTTTTGGATATTGGCTTCAACCTAATTAATTATTATAAATCAATAATTCATAATTTACCCAATCCAAAACTACGTTACCTTTTTCCATTTATTCTCTAACGTTCTCATTTGATCGGGGAATGTATTGTAGAGTTCTTTCGTATATGGAAATTGTCTATCGAAGAGGGAAACAACCTTGTATGTAGTAGCCAAACGATTCTTATTCTCCAAATTTTCCAGTACACTTGATGACTCCTCACTTTCAATGGGGGGATATTGAATGTCAGTTGATGACTCCTCACTTCCAATGGTAGATAAATCCGTAAAAGAATCACTATCAGACTGAAAGTCTTCGGCTGTACTCTTCAATTTCTTTTTTGGATTATCGTCATCATAAAGTTTCATAATTTCGTCTCCTTGGCTGGTTGTAGACTTATCAAAAATGTCGACCGAACGTAAATCGACCTTTCGTTTGATTCTATCCTTACCCGTTTCTCCTCAATCAGTCTTGAGCTTTGCATATTCTCGATTTGCACCCACAAATTTCTGCTCGTTTTTTCATTTTGTAACTGCAATAAAAAAATAAGAAATGCTATAAGAATCTATTTCATAAAGATATTGATAGCGTAGGACGATGGAAGGTGGGGAACGTCACCCCATACTCCGTGTATTATCACGAGAACGTCACTCGCCGAAGCTCCTTCAAATCGCCCTATGCTTAAGACGAGGGCGGGTAACGTCACCCCATACTCCATGAATACACTATACTCTTACGGGAACGTCACCCGCTGGAGTTCCCACGTCTCTTGCAGGAACGTCACCTGCACTTTCTTTATATACACATAACCTTTTCGATAATCGTTTCGTCAGATATCAATTCTTGCGCAATTAACATAAATCGTTTCTTCCATCTGCCGTTTTGAGTCGACCATGATTCGTTGTCAGCTTGTTCAATTATTAACGGTTTATTTTTATACAAGAAATTATTATAGGATAGTTTAGCAGGACGCGTATGCTCTGATTTCTGTTTATAGAATGGGAATTATTTAAAGATGGGTAAGAGGTAAGAAAGTCAGAACTCATAGATATGGATACTGTCATCACCTTTCTCGAAAGACATTCTGCTTAAAAAAATAGCTGAGTATGAGAACCGTAACTGGGTTATGGTTAATTATCTCGTGGTGATTTGTGCAAAAAATTTTTCACGCATAAGCGGGCTTTTTCTGTGATTGGACGATTCTTTGATGAAATTTTATTGGTTGATATTAATATGGATTTACACAGATTAAATTTTTACTATTTTTAGTATGAAAGTTATAAAATTTTTTGGGGGATAAGTTTTGGGCTTTTTTTTGGGATTTGGGATAGGATTTAGGGTTTCAAAGGTGACCCAAAGACCCTAAAATTTCGTTTTAATTTTAACATTAATATCGCTGTTATGCGGGTTAACAACATAAAGGTAGTCAAAAAGTTTGATAAAGACGGTTCAGCATTTCCCAACATAGCCTGAAATTCATCTTCCTTTGCTTTGCGTACAATATGCCGGCCATCAGCTTAATCTTCTTATTCAAAGGCATCAATTCTAATAAAATTGATCATTTTAGTGTTGTTAACATCCAGTGATAAATATAAAGTTGTTTACATACCTAGCCTCGTTTCATCAAGCTCTGCACACACATCATGGTATGTGGATTCGAGTTTGAAACCTTCTTATATTTTCAGGATAGCTTCTCAATTGGAAGCAGATAATTTGGCGAATCCACATATTCAGGATCATTATCAGATTTATACAAGCAGTGACGACACATCGATGCCGTATGCGGTAGTTTGAAGTCTTTCGTTAAGCGTTCTGGTACTTTGCTGAATTTTTTTCCCCTTTTCCTGGACGTGCCGTAGATGCGTATACCTCATGCTTGGGATGAGAACATACACTGGTCTGCATTCACAGTTAGTTTATTATAATGTTTTCTGCACAAGGCCTTACCAATCAAGTTTTGATATTCTTCGAGTAAGATTGTCAATTACTACGCACCAGGTTTCCAAAACTGTCCGCTGAGACTCGTCGAGAAGCGCTCCATCTTTTCTGAACCTGATCAATTGACTGGTAGCACCATACTGTCGTTGCTGGAGGACAATACCCCAAAAAAGTAAAGGTTTGCGGTTCTTCGAATGCACATGTTTAAAGTCAGATGATGATGTGATACATTTCATCGATCATCCAATCACATGAAAGCCCGCTGGGCAAGAAAGTTGTGGGACGTGTTGAACTGCTGGTTTCGAGGAGTCACTCGCCCAGCGTGTATTTGTCACAATGTCATGTTAATACGCGGTGACCGGAAGACTATCTTCTTCAAAGTCTGTGCGATCGAGCTTGACTCGCAAAAGATCTTTGTCTTCTCTTGTTAGGCATTATTAAGAGAAGATGTGAGCTTAGTCGCATGGAGCTCTCTCTACACGTAAATGCACAGTTCTGTTGATTATCTAAGGAGATTTCCTGTATAGGGTTTGATCAAAAGCTCCAATGGAATAATAGAATGACTGTTACGGTAAAATAATTAATAGCTGTAAGATCGAATAATAAGATGGATAAACGTACGATTGGAATTAGCATTCACTATGCCAGATATTCGGTATGTAATCTTAGCTTTCGGCATATGCTGACCTAAATTACTGCGATTTCATTTATTCTGTATCAGCTAAACATATGCCATACCTTTACTCGTGATTTTAAGAATGTATGGTTTAAATGTCATATCAATGACCGAGAACATCATACAAAACTTTACATAATAGTAATAGTTACGGATATGCTTTAAACGCAATAAATATGAAAATCTTCGTTTCATACTGTATATTCGATTGCCTATGTCTCCAAGAAACTCGTATACGCGACATCATACCACTGTTCCTGAGCAAGTGAAAAGATTGGAATCACGTTCTGTTTACAGCTGCTAACTATTTTGGCATCATAGGACAATCCATGCTTTGTAAAAAGAGAAAAGACGATTTGTGATTGTGTTAAATTTTCCAATATTGGATTAGTTGTGTACTCCCAAAGTTTTGCATAAATAAAAATCATTCGTATTCTCTCTTGTTCCGTGTCATCAAAGATTGATTGATATTACGAAACAACCATGTCAACTAATTACCGTAGCACAAATCGACGAACTGCGTCAACTCCAATATCTGTAAAGCCAACTATTGTTGATAAGTTTATGGAGCGGGTCCAATTAGACGTGATTGATCTGAGAACTCGGCCAGATGGCGAGTACAGATACATCGTCCACGCCAGTGGGCAGAAGCGTTGACAGATAATAAGGCCATAGACGTGGCAAGATTTTTGTTTAAAATATTCACGCAGTTTGGTCCACCAGAATTCTTACAATCTAATAACAAAAAAGAATTTGTCGCAGCAATCCTTCATGAATTCCAACAATTATGACCTGAAGTCCACATTATCAATGGTGATGCGCGAGATCCTAGGTCACAAGGGTTAATGACAAGAGGCAATTCGATATTAAAAACAAACTTTCCATATGGCTTGTGGATCATAAGCGTCAGGATTGGCATGTAGGATTATTATTTTCCTTTCTTCTTGATAAATTTCCTAAGTGATTTTTTCTTGATCTAGATATTCCAGGAGTGTTTGGATATCATTAAATTTAAAAATATATGGGCAATTTTTTCTTCTTGGGCTTTCTTTAGAATGCTTCTAATGGTGTTGTAATTCTTTGGTTCCATGGTGAACTTAATGTAAATTAGTTTCATATTTATATATTTTTATATAGAGATAGGTCTATTACGTTATTCATCACATTATGCTTTATATTCTTCACATTCTGATATGATAAAGTAAATAATAAAATGACAAGTCCATAAGTTATTATTATGAATGAGCAATATTATTACTTTTCAAAATATTATCAGTCAAATTAGTTAACTTTCAGCCACACCAGCCTCTTATTTATGTTACATAATCAAATGTTCACTTTGTCTGGTTTTGTTGTAATCTGTTTCATATATAGTTTTTAGATTACTTAAGTTACTGAAGCACTAATTATTAGATAAATAATCTTTATTTTTTTGAAGATATAGATATATATAAAGTTGAAAAAGAATAAAATTAACTAGTAAATATATGTAGAATTGGAAAAAGTTAAAATTGATTAGTATATGTAAAGTTGTAAAAGAAAGAAATTATTTATTAAAAAGAATTTTATTATTATCAGAATTCATTAACAAATACTAGTAATCTATCTATAATATTTATATTTATTAAGATAATTATATCAGTTTAATTTTTTCTATAATTGATCAAATATATAAAAAATACTTGTTTAATAATATTATATTATAGATTATTTATATTAGTTTAATTTTTTTTATAATTAATCAAATATATCAAAAATTAAAAAATAAATAAAATACTTATCTAATAATATTATTATATTATATTATAAATTATGAAGATTTGAAGAAAGAATAGAAATATTTATTAATTATCAGATATAATTATAAAAAAAAGTTATTAATTATCAAATATAATTATAAGTCTAATTTAATTAGCTAAAATATTATTAAAAAAATTACTAAATAATAAATATTATCTAATAAATATTACACTACTTAATTTAATAATATTCTATAATTACTATTATTTAGTAATTAATTATTAAAAAATTAAATTAATAATATTATTAATTATTTATTATTATTTTTAAATAAAATATATGTGTTAGCAATGTGAATATTATAATAAAAATTTTTTAATATTTTAATAGCAAATAAATTATCATAATATATCTTTTAAATGTATTCTTTTTTTATAATATTATATTTTTACAAATATTAAGTTTTTAACAAGTATTTTATTCTGATAATAAGAATAATGAGATTTAAAATTTATCAAAATATTCATCAAATATAATAAATTTAATTTATTTATTAAAAATATTAATTAATAATAATTTTTATGTAGAGTAAAAAAGATATTTTTAGTATTTAATTAATATTAATTACAAATAACCTTTTTTTAATAAAAATAAAAACTCAAAAATCTGAAAATATAACTTGATTTAAAGATATAATTCAATTTAAAGATATAACTCGACTTGAAATTAATGAAAATTATTATAAAGATATATTATTAAATAATATATATAAAAATCTGTAATACTATTATAGTAGTAATATAAAATTATTAATTTTAAAAATAATTAAAAAATACAAAGTATTCAAAAATATCTATATAATAGTAAAAAGTTCAAATTAATTCATTATTCTATTTTAATTTTTATTATTTTTTAATTATTTTTAATTATTTTTGATTATTTTTTGATTACTTTTTATTATTTTATTTTATTCAAAAATATCTATATAATAGTAAAAAGTTCAAATTAATTCATTATTCTATTTTAATTTTTATTATTTTTTAATTATTTTTAATTATTTTTGATTATTTTTTGATTACTTTTTATTATTTTATTTTATTCAAAAATATCTATATAATAGTAAAAAGTTCAAATTAATTCATTATTCTATTTTAATTTTTATTATTTTTTAAT